GGTCATGGCCCTGGAGGTGGGAGGCCAGTGGTCCCAGGAGGCCCTCCAATTCGTGCGCCTCTTGGCGGACTGCAAGGCCCGGTCGCCGCCCGAGCTTCTGCGCGCCTCAGTAAAAGCGGCGTGGATCCAGCGGTGGACAGGCCTCGTCTCGGTGGCGGCGCAGCGGGCCTTCGCAGCCTCTCCACTGCACCTGCCCCTGGACGGCCTCGCCTGCGACGGCGACGAACCATGGTTGCAAGACGTCCTGGCGGACGCGCGCCACACCGAAGCCCCAGTCCCTAGCCGCATGCCGGCGCGCCCGTGAGAAGGGCGGCCCCTGGCGGCGCGAGGGCCGGGGGCGACGAACACCACCGCCACCGCACCACGACTACGACCAGTAGCGCCACCACCACGACAGTGACCAGGAGGGTCACAACCACGACGGCGAACAGCTGCACCACCACCACGACGGCGACCAGCCGTACCAGCAGCAGCGCCACCACCAGGACGACGACGACCAGCAACACTGCCACCACGACGGCGACTAGCACCACGGACAGCAGCAGCACGACGACGACGACGACGACGACGACGACGACGACGACGACGACGACGACGACGACGACGACGACGAGCACCATCACCACCACGACCGCGACGAGTAGCATCACCACTAGCACCACACCACCACCAAGACGGCGACTACGCGCACCACGACGACGGTGACCAGCAGCACCATCAGCACGACGACCGCGACTAGCAACCCAATTACCAGCATCGCCACCACGACTACTCCCAAGAGCACGCCGACTACGACCAGCAGCACCACCAACACGACGGAGACCACCAACGCCACCACCACGACGGCGACCACCACGACAGCGACCAGCAGCGGCACCACCACCAGCACCGCCACCACCACGACAACGACGATCAGCACCACAACCACCACCACCACCACAACGACCAGCAGCAGCACCACAACAACGACCACCAGCACCACCACCACCAAGACCGACGCCACCACGACGACGACCAGCACCACCACCACCACGACGGCGACTAACAGCAACACCACCACGACTACAACCAGCAGGACGACGACCACGACCAGCAGCAGCACCAGCGCCAGACCGCGACGACGGCGACCAGCAGAAAGACGACGTCGACCACCAACAGCACCACCACCAACACCGCCACCACCACGACGACGACCAGCAGCAGCACCACCACCACCACCACCACCACCACGGCGACCAGCAGCAGCACCGCCACCACCGGCAGCACCACTACTGCAACTACAACCAGCAGCACAACGACTACGACCAGCAGCAGCACCACCGCCAAGGCGACCACGACCAGGATGACGGCAACCAGCAGCACGTCGACGACGACCACCAGCACTACCAGCAGAAACGCCACCACCACGACGGCAAACAGCACCACCACCACCAGCACCGCCACCACGACGACCAACACCACCACCACGACGACGGCGACTAGCACCACCACCACCACCACCGCCACTACCACGACGGTGGCCACCACGACGGCGACCAGCAGCACCCCCACCACGACGGCGACCCGCAGCACCACCAGCAGCGCCGCCACCATAACGACGACCACGACCGGCACCACCACCAGGACAACGGCGACCAGCAGCACTACTATCCGCACCGCCACCATGACGGCGGCCACGCAGCCGAGGCGCCGCGCGGTGGGCCACCCTGTCCGCTCGCCGCCGCGCCGGCCGCGCCTCCCAGGGCCTGGCTGCTGAGGCTCGGGCGACCGCTCTGGTCGCTTCGGCGGCCCCCAGCGGCGCCCGGGAGGGATCAAAACCATGGACTTAAAGTGGTCATTTTGATGTCTATGGTTTTGGCCGCCCTGGGCCCCGCCGGGGCCGCCCCTGACTGCTCGCCGTCGCGCCGGCCGCGCCCGAAAAGGGGCTCAAGGCTCGGAGCTCAAACCGGCTTCCAGCAGGGCGACCAGCACCACCACCACCAGCACGGAGACCACCACCACCAGCACGGCGACCAGCACCACCACCACCACGACAGCGACCAGGGGCAGCACGGCGACCAGCAGCACCACGACAACCGCTTCCAAGACTGCGACAGCCAGCAGCAGCAGCAGCAGCAGCAGCAGCAGCAGCAGCAGCAGCTGCAGCACCACAACCACCACGCCTACAACCAGCAGCGCCACCACCACAAGCACGGCGACCAGCACCACCACCACCACCACCACGACGGCGACCAGGAGCAGCACGGCGACCAGCAGCACCACGAAAACCACTACCACGACAGCGACAACAACAAGAAACAGCAGCACCAGCAGCAGCAGCAGCAGAAGCAGCAGCAGCACCACCACCACCACAACCACTACGACTACGACCAGCAGCGCCACCACCTTTTGCACGGCGACCAGCACCACCACCACCACCACGGTGACCAGGGGCAGCACGGCGACCAGCAGAACCACGACAACTACGACCACAACTGAGACAACAAGCAGCAGCAGCAGCAGCAGCAGCAGCGGCAGCAGCAGAACCACCAACACCACCACTACGACTACGACCAGCGGCGCCACACCCACCAGCACGGCGACCAACACCACCACTACAACCACTACCACGGCGACCAGGAGCAGCACGGCGACCAGCAGCACCACGACAACCACTACCACAACGCATCCCCTACAACAAGACATGCACCAGCCCCAGCTCTAGACCCCCCAAGTTGACCACCGCCACCCTCGACCTAGCACCACCACCACCACCACCACCACCACCACCACCACAACGACAACGACAACGACTACGACCAGCAGAGCCTCCACCACCAGCGCGGCGACCAGCACCAACACCACGACAGCGGCCAACAGCGCCACCACCACCACCACGGCAGCCGGCAGCACCACCATGGCGAAGGAGGGCGGCTGCTGGCGGGGCCCCAGCGCTCTGGCGGGCCGCCGCAGCAGGCGGGCGGGCGGGGCCCCACCGGCGCCACAAGGCAAGGAGGAGAGGGGGGCCGCAGAGACTGGGCCGCGGCCGCCGCCCGCTGCCGCGCGGGCGCGCCCAGCAGCGGCGGGCGGGGGGCCCGCGCGGACGCCGGCGCGGCGGGGAGCGACGGCGGCCGGCGGCGGCTGACGGCGGCGGGCCGGCGGCAGTGGCTGGGCCCGCGATGGAGGACGAGGAGGTCGAGGAGGCGGCAGAGTAGGCGGGCGCTGTAGAGGAGGCCGAGGGCGGCAGCGCGGGGACCCCGCCGCCCTTCGGCAAGGAGGGACTCGGGGAGGCACGCCAGAGCGGGCCCCGAGTGAGGGTGGGGCTAGAACGCCTGCGACTCTCGGGGCGGCCGGGGGAGGCCGGCAACGCAGCCGCGCCAGGAGCGAGACGAGGCGCCGCGGCCGGCGGAGCCCCGCAGCGAGGGGGCGGAGGCGGAGGCGGCGGGCTGCGGCTGGCTGGGGCCCGCCAAGGTCCGGCCGAGGCGCGCGGCGGGCGGCGCGACGGCTGGCGGAGGCGGGGGGCGCCGCGGCGGGGCCGGGCTCGGCCGCCCGCCGGCGGGCGGGGCGGACGGGGGCGGCGGCGGCGACGGCGGCGGGCGGCGGGCCGCGGCAGGGCCCCGCGCGGCGGCCTTGGCTAGGCGTGAGCCCCAACGAAAGAAGATCCAGCTTGAGATGTGTCGGTCGGACGACATAAAACTTGTAGCTGCGGAGGAGCAGGCGGCGCGCTGCAGGATTAGCGCGCACCTTGGCGCAAGCCTGAAGCCCGGCGAAAGGCCACTCTACCACGTCAAGACGGGGAGGATCCAGGGAGCACATCAACGCCCGGACAGCGCTCGCCCACGTGGAGCAGCTCGTGCGGGAGGCCCCTGTAAGGACATCTGCGCCCGGGTGCTCAGCTGGCGAAAGGAGCAAACTCGCGCGAGCGAGTACTGTGCGCTCAAGCATCTTGGTGCTGAAGCGCGGCTGCCACCCACACTGCGCAAGGACAACCGCGCCGGGCAGTTCCGAGCCGATCGCGCACCCCAGCACGCTCCGGTCCCACGACGCCTGCATATGATCGGGTGGGACGCGCGCGCTCAGCAAGGAAGAGAAACGGAGAGGGGCAGAGCAAGGCAAATCACACGCGCGACGGCACTTTTGCACACAGGAGGGGGAGACCAAAGCCACCCGACTCACCGGCAAAAGCAGCGCCTCGAATAGCTCATAACCTCTGGCCAACGTCGCCCGGAGGAGTGGGCGGAAAGTGCGACGGGAGTCTGTCAATGAGCACCCCATGTAAGGTCTCAGTATCCACCACTGGGCAGCCGATATCCTCCCAACCACTGGAAAAAAGGGCCAAAACTACGACAAGCATAACCACAACCACAACCACGAGCACGACCAACAGCTCCACCACCGCGACTGCGACCAGCAGCAACGCGACGGCGACCAACAGCAATCTGGCGACGATGACTGCATCGCCACCAGCAACAACCAGCAAGCAGCACCACCACCCCGACTGCCACCACCGCCAGCAGCACCGCGACCGCGACCAACCGCACCACTACGCCCCAGCGCCACGACGGAGGCCAGCAGGTCCACCACCAGCAACAGCACCGCGACGGCGACCAGCGGGAGGACGCGGAGGAGGAGGAGGGTGGAGGGTGGAGGTGGCAGGTATTGTGGGAGGTGGAGGGTGGCGGCGACGCTGTTCCAGGGCACCTTCCGGGACATCGAGGAAGCGACACGGCAGGCACGGGTTCCATGGGGGCCCCCCAACAATGTCGCCAACTTGCGCGACGGGCCCCCCATGGACAGGGCACGTGCGGGGGCACCTGCCCCACTGCCGGACACCCCTACTTGGGGCCCCCACTTGGGCTGAGTTCTTCCACCCGCCTCTGCCCGAGGCGCTGGGTCCAGCGTCCTACTTAGGGCGAAGAGAGGAAGAAGAAGAAGAAGAAGAAGAAGAAGAAGAAGAAGAAAAAGAAGAAGAAGAAGAAGAAGAAGAAGGAGGAGGAGGAGAAGGAGAAGGAGGAGACCTCAACGACCGCAAAAAATCCTCCAAGACGGCTCCAGATGGCCTCAAACATGGTCACGTTGGCCCAAGATGGCCTCCAAGAGGGCCCAAGATGGCCTCCAAGTCCGCCCAAGATGGCCCAAGATGTCCCCAAGACGGCCCAAGAGAGTCCAAGATGCATTCAAGTTCGCCCAAGAAGCCTCCAAGACGGCCCAAGATGGCTCCAAAAGGGCCTAAGACTGCCCAAGAGGGCCCCAAGAGGCCTCCAAGAGCTCCACCAGGAAGACCCGAAGAGGCCAAAATCATTGATTTCCCTTGGGTTTCGAAGGACTTGGGCTTTTTCTTCTTTTCAGCTCTCCGACGGCCCAAGACGGCCAGAGGCCCCCAACATCGCCCCAAGAGCGCCCAAGAGGCCTCCAAGATGGCCCCACGACATGCCAAGAGGCCCCCAAGAGGGCCCCAACAAGACCGACGGCCCAAGAGGCCCCCAAGACGCCCAAGATGGCCTCCAAGACGGCCAAGATGGCCTCCAAGATGTCTCCAAGACGGCCAAGAAGGCCTCCAAGACAGCGAAGATGGCCCCAAGATGCACTCAACTCGGCCCCAGATGGCCTGAAGATGGCCTTAGACTACCCAAAAGGCCCCAAGACGGCCCAACACCCCTCCAAGACGTCCTCCAGTAGGCCGAAAAGCTTGGGAACCGCCTGGTCCGATAGCTCGCCCGACTCCGTGTTCCCCGCAGGCTTTCCAAACCCACCCAGGGAACGCTTGGCCCGATAGCTAGCCCAAGCTCAAACCCAACTTCCGGCCACGCAGGCGCTTCCAAAAAGGCAGTGGGCGGCGGTGATTCGCCGTAGGCGTCTTCGATATCGCCAACGTTCCAATATGCGCTGATGGCTCCGATCCGCCCCCGCATGCTGTTTCCAGATACGCCAAAGCAGCGCCGAGACGCACCGACGCGACTCTGTTTTATCCCCTTCTGATAGAGAGGGGGCCGGCGGCAGGGAGCGAAGCCCTTACGGATAAACAAAGAAACAAATAAATAAGGAAAAAATATCCTGGCGAAAGACCCAACCATATGCAGTTGTGAGTAACGCAATGGTAAAAGCCGGCTCAAGGCCAAGCCAAGCCAAGCGGCCGGCGCGCGCGAGGGGCGCACGCGGGGCGCAGGCATGGCGCCCTCCAGGGGGCCACGGGGTCCGTGCGCCGACGCTCGGAGCATGGGGAGTGCTCCGGGCGAAGGGGGGCGCCCACCGGACCCAGGCCCGCCACCAGGCCTCTGGACGCTGGCTGGGCGAAGGAGACGAACGCAGGGAGGCGGGAGGCGAAGGACGAGCCCGCCGAGACCTCGTCACCACGGCGGGCGCGGAGCGAGAAACTCGGTCAGGAGAGGGGCCCTTCCAGGCCGCGAGCTGACAAAGACAACCACGACCATGACTACGACCGACCACCCAACGACACGACTTGCCCCCGACCCCCTCCGCTTGAACCCCTTCCGCCACCTGGCTCAAGGCGAGCACAGCCTCACACCTGCCCCGCCGCCCGAAGACACAGACAGCCGACCCAGACTCGCAGACCCACCGGTCAACCGCAGCGCTGGGTATTCGCCTTTGCCCACTCGGTGCGCCACGAGGAACACGAGGAACCACCGTCGTTCCAGACGCCGCACCGAGAAGAGGGAGAGAGCGAACAGAGAGGCACACGCCTACCACGAACATGCCGAGACCATGCGGCAGCAGGAATCTTTCTCCAGGCGACAGACCTACCTCGAGGACCGGTTCTACCTGAGGCGGCACGCGACGGGGGGCAGCGCAAAAATCGAAGAGCGAACCACCACGCAGCCCGACTACCAAGCTCACAACACCACCGACCACGACTCATCCACACCAAGCACGCGAGACTGCATCCAAAAGCTCTTGCGCGCGCCCCTCGGACCCAACACGAGACCGGACTACACAAACGAGGGCGCAACGGCCGTCATGAGGCAGGCCGGGGTGGGGACGCTGGAGACGGACAGCCCGACCCTGCAGCCGAGCGCACGCCAACGCGCCCGCCAGGAACGCTGCCGAGCCAACGCCAGCAAGGGGACCGCAGAGCGTTGCCAACACGAGGATGCCACTTCCGTCCAGTGGCAGCCCACGATGCTACCACCACGTCCTGCCCGCGCCGGGCCGACAAGGGCAACGCAGAACTGCAGCTACCGCCAATGCCCTCCCGCCACCCTTGCTCACACCGGCAGCCCCGCAGCTCCCAGAAACGGGAGCCACCGCTTCTACCTGGCGCGCAAAGGCGACGAGGGCAAGCCCTCGCACCAGAGCCGCGCGCAAACGGGCAGCCGCAGCAGGAGAAGCAGCAGAAAGCACCTTGCACCAGCAGAGCGACCACCGCGACCACCAACACCACGCGCAGCAACACCAGCGCGACGAGGAGCACCGCAGCGGCAACAACGCCCACGACTGCGACCAGCACCACGCGCAAGAACACCAGCGCACAGCACAACGCAGCGACCAAAACCACCACGACGTGCACCACCACGAGCAGCAGCACCAGCGCAACCCCTCCAAAAGCCGCCGCGACGCGCGATGGGGTTACCGAGGCGTTCGAGTGGGCGAGGCCAGCCACCCAGGACCTCCAGACGCACCCGGGGACAGCCCCCGAACACCGCGCCCGAGACGCACGACGTCACCACCAGAGTCGCCAGAGCACGCACCCGGCGGCGCGGCGCCAATCCCGTCGCAGGAAGAGACCCCACCACGGGCTCTGCTCCGGCTACAAGCCGCAGGGTTTCAGCTTGGCGCGCCAGCCGTGCCGGACCACTTTGGCGCCGTCTTCGGGAGGGCGCCAGAAGGCGGATGGAATTTTGCTGGCTTATTCGCCCCGCACGGCGACAGGCAGGGCGAGGCAGCAGAAGCGGCAGCAACAGCGCGGGAGGAGCCAGACCGATCACCAGCGCCGGCAGAAGACGCCAACATCTGCGTCGTCTGACAGGAAGTGATCCCGCACCATGGGGCGGGCAGGGACACACCAACACAGGAGGCATGCTGTGGCGCCCACTTCCACTTGGGCTGCCGCGCCGACTTGGCCCGCCACCTTGGCGAAGCCACCACTTGCCCGCAGTGCCGAGCCAGACTCCCGACCGCCGCCGAGTTACGGGCATGGTGCGCCGCGCAGGGCGTGGACATAGAGACCGCCGCCCCCGGCCCACGACACCAGCGCCCAGGCCGTCCCAGATTACAATGGGTTTCGGAGCTACGCGCGAGGCGAAGAACCACCACCACGGGAGCCACCGCTGCTCCGAGCGCTCTGCTGCCGACGCCTCGGCCCACCGCCCGAATTCTCCGAAGTGCCAGACCGCCGCATGGAATGGTCCCCGGAGATTGCTGCACGCGACACCAACGGGATGATCACGCAGTGGCTTGAGTCATGGCTTTGCCCACGCTGCGGGGCGCGCTGCGCCGTCGACACGATCGCGCCACAGAGCGGCCAACAGATGCGCGCGAGGTGCCTAGAGCAGGGCACGTGGACCGCGGAAGCCAGCACGGCCGAAGGCGAATGGAGGTGCGCTGCGTGCGAACCAGACGCATGGACCAGAGAAGTGCCTTCTGCCCCACCACCAGCCCCGCCAGGTCCAGAGCCATCGCCACCAGCCCCCCCGCCAGGGCCAGAGCGAGCCGCCGCGAGGCCGCCACAACACAGCCCTTTCGCCGGCTGGGCCCCACCGCAAGCGCCCCTCCAGGCACGCACCAACTCGGCAGTGCACGCGCCCCTGCTGCTAGCAGCCGCCGGGTTTTTAGACCCAAGCGAAGGGGCGCAGTGGAGTGAGCACCGCCTCACACAGGCCTGGTGGCAGCCGACGGTAGAGACGTTGCGGCTTGCAGGACCTGTACTAACAAGGCCCTTTGTCCAAATGCTGGCGTATACCGACGCTCGGCCCGGGGAAGTACCAGCGGTGCTTGCTGCAGACGGAGGAGAGCGCCCAGGGCACGCATCCTTTGCGCCAGTCGTCCAGGCCGTGGCGCACAGCAGCACCGGCTACATACAGCCGCTGGTGCAAGACCTCCTCCTCGAAGCCTTCGGCGGCGGCGTGCTTGCACGAGGAGTTGACGCACGCACAAACGAGCTGCGCAACCCCAGCTTCTGGGCAGACGCGGCGCCTCCGCCGCCGCTCCCACCGCCAGAGGCGCCCCAGGTGCCGGAGCTGCCCGGAGACCAGCACGCGAACGGCCCTGCCGCCGTGGTGGGCAGAGGCGCCCCCGGAGACAGAAGCGGAAGAGGCGCCAGAGAAAGCAGACGAGGAAGAGGCGCCAGACGAGGCCGAGGCGGCGGAGAAGGGGGAGGAGGAGGCCCGAGCAGCGGCAGCGACGGCGGAAACACGGGCGCGGAGGAGGGAGACGCCAACGACAGCGGCAGCAACTCCAGCACTGAGGAGACCGACCACGAGGCCGAACCAGCGCAGGCCCCAGCCCCGAGCAACGGACCCACCGAAGAGTCCCGGGCAGCTCTCGGGGGCATCGACTTCCAACAAGAGCTACGGAGATTCGTGCCGACACTACAGAACGTGCCACGTTTCCTGCGCGCGGAGACCCGGATGGCGTTCACCACGGCCCTGAAAATGATCAAGCGAGGACACGACCAGGGCAACCAAGCAACAACCCACCAAGGATGGACACTGTTCCTCCTCGCCTCGAGGCTCCTGCTAAGCAAGCCCAAGGGTACCGACGCCGAGGGCCGACAAGAGCTCCTGGACCGCGCCCAACGGTTCCGCCAGGGCGACTGGCTGGCCCTGCTACACGAGGCCAACACCACGGCCGGCGCGCGCGCAGCGCCGAGGCCAGCCACAGAGGAGCAACAGCAGGAGAGACGCAGAGAACAGGCTTGCGCGCACGTCCGAAACGGCAACCCGTCACGGGAGAGACAGGTCTTGACCGCGGCGGCGATTGCGCCCGGCAACGGGGAGACACTAAACAGGCTGCGGGACCCGGCCCGCCGACCGCCTACCCTGAGCCGCCGACGACCCGCCAACCTCGACCGCGCAACCGACAGAGCGAGACTCGACAAGACCAAATTCCTCGCTTGCCTCCGGTCCGCCAAAAAGGGCACGGCAGCAGGACCGTCGGGGGTCCGCGTTGAGCACCTCAAGCCGCTGCTGGAACACGAAGAGTCCATGGACCAGCTTGGATTCGCCGCCGCTGCCCTCGCGGAGGCGCGGGTGCCCTCCCAGATTGCCCGCGCTCTAGCCCTCTGCAAGATGACGGCGCTCCAGAAACCAGACAACGGAGTACGGGGCATCGCCACCGGCGACGTTTTCCGCCGACTGGTCACCAGGGCGCTCGCTCAGCAGTTCGCCGAGCAGCTCGCGGCCGCAACTGCGCCCTTCCAGTTCGCCCTGACGACGCGGGCAGGAACCGACTGCGCCGCCATGCTGCTGAGGTCAGTGCTGGACCACGACGACGACGCAGTGATTGTCAGCATCGATGGAGTCGGGGCTTTCGACAATGTGTCGAGGTCGGCCTTCTTCCAGGAGCTCCTTGCTCGCCCAGAGCTGGCCGGCTTAATCCCCTTCGAGAAGATGTGGTACGGGCAAGACTCCACCTACCTCTGGCAAGACGAAATGGGGACTGTGCACGACGTGCACCAGGGAGAGGGAGTGGAGCAGGGGGACGCGCTGGCCCCAGCCCTCTTCGCTCTTGCCCTGCACGGAGCGCTGGCGGGCGCCTCCAAGACCCTAGAGCAAGGGGACTTCCGAGTCGCTTTCTTGGACGACGTGTACATCAAGACCACCTGGGCCAGGGCCAGAGCCGCTTTCGACACCACCACCGGAGCAATTCACCTCCACGCAAACGTGGATTGCCACCTTGGCAAGTGCCGGGCCTACAGCAGGGGCGGAGGCGCAGCGCCGCCCGGAATTGGCGAGCTGGGACAAGACGTCTGGAGGGGTGACAGAGCACCACCCGACCGAGGAATCAAGATCCTCGGCACCCCCCTAGGCACCCCAGAATTCGTCGCCGCACACCTGGAGAGCAGACTACAGGAAGAGAGGAGACTCCTGGACGAACTGGCGCACCTGCCCGACCTACAGTGCGCTTGGCTCCTCCTCCTCCTTTGCGCCTCCCCGCGGGCCAACCACCTGCTGCGAACCCTGCCGCCAGAGGAAATCGCAGAATACGCGAGAGGCCACGACGGCGACATGTGGGCCACCCTGCGCCGCCTCCTCGGGGACCCCGCAATGTCGCAAGACGAAGAGCGACGGGCGCGCGCACTGGCAGCAATGCCTGGACGACACGGAGGACTCGGGCTCCAAAGCGCCGCGCGCACGTCCCCAGCGGCCCACTGGGGCGCTTGGGCAGACGCCCTACACATGCTCCACCAACGGCGCCCCGTTGAAGCTGCAGCGATCAGGGACCTCCTCGACGGCACCAGGCCCGGCCGTAGGGGCAACCTTGCCGCAGCCGCCGCGGCCGCACAGCTGCTCGAAACCGAAGGCTTCCGGAGACCTTCCTGGACCGACCTGCTCCAGGGGCTGCGCCCAGAAGCGCCGCCGCGCTCGGAGGCCGCCGAACCGGGGGAATGGCAGCACGGCCGGCAGTTCCACGCTTGTTCCGCACGCAACACACACTACAGGGACAACGTGTTCATGCCCAGCCTCACCAGGGCCAACCAGGCCATGCTAAGGTCAGGCTCAGGACCGAGGGCCGCCTACTGGCTTCACACCTTACCCACCACCGAGGGGCACGCGTTCAAGCCCGCGCGGTTCCTGGCAGCCCTGCGCCGGCGCCTCAGGCTCCCGCTGCCGCTCCTCCCGCACACCTGCGGGGCAGCCGGCCACCCAGGCTGCCGGGCCCGGCTGGACACGCTGGGAGACCACCTAGCCGCGTGCCCACGCACGGGGCTTCTCGCCAGACGCGCGAAACTGCTCGAACGAGCTTGGGCGAGGGTCGCCAGAGAAGCAGGAGGGAGAGTTGTCCCCCAACAGCTGCTGCGGGACACTAACGCCGTTGTCCACAACCCGCTGGACCGCAGACAATTAGACCTAGTCGTCTACGGCATCTCGCCGAACGGCGTCCCGCTGTGCTGCGACAGCACCATGGTGTCCCCCCTCCGCAGGGACGGCTGGCACCGGCCGCGCACCTTCGACACCGACGGCGCCGCGCCACTTGGGGCCGAAAGGCGCAAACGACGCAGGTACCACGAACTCACGACAAGCCATTCAGGCCGCCTCATGGTCCTCTCCTGCGAGGTCGGAGGCAGGTGGGGCCGCGATTCCCTCCAGCTGGTACGCCTGATTGCCAAGCAGAAGGCGCGGGCCGCGCCGGCCCTCCTCCGCCGCTCCGCGGAGCTCGCGTACACCAACCGCTGGTGGGGGTTCCTGAGCGTCGCGGCCCAGGACTCGCTCATGGCCACCCTGACGGGCGACGGCTACCTAGCCTTGGGGGGAGCCGCTGGGGAGGACGACCTAGACCTGGCCGAAGTGCTGCTCGCAGACTCCGCCGGCCCACCCGCTAGCCGCCTGCCAGCACGCCCCTGATGCTTGGCGCCGCGGCCAGCACGGCCGCCCCGGAGGGCTCCGACGAGCGCCGGGAGCACCCCCGACACGGCAGCGGGCACCACGAGGAGGTCAGCAGTACCACCACCACCACAACGGCGACCAGCAGCACCATCGCTTCGACTGCGACCCGCAGCAGAACCACCACCAACACCACCACCGCGAGAGCGACCCGCAGCACCACCACGACCACGACCAGGAGCACCACGACTGCGACCAGCAGCACCACGACTGCGACCAGCAGCAGCACCACCACGACTACGACCAGCAGCACCACCACCACCACGACCAGCAGCACCACCAGCACCACCAGCACAAGCAGCACCACCACCACCACCAGCACCACCACGACTACGACCAGCACCACCACGACTGCAACCAGCAGCAGCACCACAACGACCAGCAGCACCACCACCACGACCAGTAGCACCACCAGCACCACCACGACGGCGACCAGCAGCCCCACGACTGCGACCAGCAGCGCCACGACTTTGACCAGCAGCACCACGACTGCGACCAGCAGCAGCACCACCACGACTGCGACCAGCAGCACCACCACCACGACTGCGACCCGCATTACCACCACGACCACGACCACGACCAGCAGCACCACGACAGCGACCAGCAACACCACGACTGCAACCGGGAGCAGCAGCACCGAGACAGCGACCAGCAGCACCACCACGACCAGCACCACCAGCACAACCAGCACTACCACGACTGCGACCGGGAGCAGCACCACCACTGCGACCAGCACCACCACGACAACGACCAGCACCACGACTGCTACCAGCAGCACGACGACTTGTGGGGTGGGGGGGGGGGACAAGCGCAGCACCACAACGACTGTACGGACCAGTAGCACCACCAGCACCACCACGACGGCGACCAGCAGCTCCACGACCGCGACCAGCAGCGACACGACTGCGACCAGCAGCACCACCACCACGACAGCGACCCGCAGCACCACCACGACCACGACCAGGAGCACCACGACTGCGACCAGCAGCACGACGCCTGCGACCAGCAGCATCCCCACGACTACGACCAGCAGCACCACCACCACCACGACCAGCAGCACCACCAGCACCACTAGCACAAGCAGCACCACCGCGACTGCGACCAGCAGCACCACCACGACTACGACCAGCACCACCACGACTGCAACCAGCAGCAGCACCACAACGACCAGCAGCAACACCACCACGACCAGCAGCACCACCAGCACCACCACCACAGCGACCAGCAGCCCCACGACCGCGACCAACAGCGCCACGACTGCGACCAGCAGCGCCACGACTGCGACCAGCAACAGCACCACCACGACTGCGACCAGCAGCACCACCACCACGACTTGCGACCCGCAGCACCACCACGACCACGACCACGACCAGCAGCACCACGACAGCGACCAGCAGCACCACGACTGCAACCGGGAGCAGCAGTACCGAGACTGCGACCAGCAGCACCGCCACGACCAGCATCACCAGCACAACCAGCACTACCACTGCCACGACTGCGACCAGCAGCACCACCACCACTACGACCAGCACCACCACGACTGCGACCAGCAGCAACACCACAGAGACCAGCAGCACCACCACGACCAGCAGCACCACCAGCACCAACACGACGGCGACCAGCAGCCCCACGAGTGTGACCAACAGCGCCACGACTGCGACCAGCAGCACCACGACTGCGACCAGCAGCAGCACCACCACGACAACGACCAGCAGTACCACCACTACGACCGCGACCCGCAGCACCACCACGACCACGACCAGCAGCACGACGACTGCGACCAGCAGCGCCACGACCGCAACCGGGAGCAGCAGCACCGAGACAGCGACCAGCAGCACCACCACGACGAGCACCACCAGCACAACCAGCAATACCACGACTGCGACCAGCAGCACCACCACGACTACAACCAGCACCACCACGACCGCGACCAGCAGCAGGGCCACCACGACCAGCAGCAGCACCACCTCGACCGCGACCAGCAGCATCACCACGACTACTACCAGCAGCACTACGACTGCCACCAGCAACACCACGACCACGACCAGCAGCAGCACGACCACGACTGCCACCAGCAGCTCCACCACCACGGCCAACAGCAGCACCAGCACCTCCAGCACAACCAGCACCACCACTACTACGACTAGCACCACCACGACAAGCAGCACCACCACAACCGCGACCAGCAGCACCAACACGACTGCGACCAGCAGCCCCACGACTGCGACCTGCAGCGCCACGACTGCGAACAGCCGCAGAACCACTACCAGCACCACCACCACGACTGCAACCCGCAGCACCACCACGACTGCGACCAGCAGCACCAAAACTGCGACCAGCAACACCACGACTGCGACCAGCAGCAGCACCACCACGACTGCGACCAGGAGCAGCAGCACCACCACCAAGACCAGCACCACCAGCACAACCAGCACCACCACGACTGCGACCACCAACGCCACCACGACTACGACTCGCAGCACCACGACTGCGACCAGCAGCAGCACTACCACGACCGCAGCCAGCAGCAGCACCACCAACACGACCACGACCAGCAGCAGCACCACCACGACTGCGACCAGCACCAATTCCGACCGGCAACACGACCCCCAGCAACGACGGGCACCACCTGTAACGACCAGCAGCAACGACGCGCACCTGCACGACGGCGCGCACCGACGACGCCCACCGCCCCTTCCCCTCGCCTTTCCCTCGGCCTCTGTCCCCTCGTCTCGGTCCCGTCTCGTTCGCCCCCTGCCCCCGCGTCGTTCGCCCCTCGCCGTTCGGGCCCGGCCATGCCCCTCGCCCCCTCGCCCTCCGCCCCCCGCCCGCCCCACCCCCGCCTGGAGTCCAGACCCAGCCGCGCCTGCGAGACAAGGGAGCAGCGGCAGCAGGCTATGGCGCTGCTGATTCCCAAACTGGGGCCCAACGTCATCAGTTGCATCGCTGGGGCCAGCGCACGCGCGAAAAATGGGCAGCGGCAGTGGCAGCGAGCCAGGGAGGAGAGCGAGGCGGCAGAGGAGGAAATAGAAGAGGAGGAGAAGGCAGCGGACGAGCAGGACCAGGTCGAGGAGGAGGAGGAGGCGAAGATAACCGCGCTCGACGTCAGCAGGCAGTGGCAGCGAGCCAGGGAGTCAGGACGTGGAGGAGGAGGAAGACGGGAGGTGATGGCGGAGCCAAGCGTCATCAGCTACAGCTCTGGGATCAGCGCACGCGCGAGAGGCGAGCAGTGGCAGCGGGCTCTCTCACTGCCCAGCGAGATGCGGGAGGCGAAGGTGGAGCCAAGTGACATCAGCTATAGCTTTGGGATCAGCACCTGCGCGAAAGACGAGCAGTGGCAGCGGGTTCTACCACTGCTCAGCGGGATGCGGGAAGTGAGGTTGGAGCCGAATGGCATCAGATACAGCCCTGGGATCAGCGCGTATGCGAACGGCGAGCAGTGGCAGCAGGCTCTCCCACTGCTCAGCGAGATGTGGGACGCGAAGGTGGAGCCAAGCGTCATCAGCTACAGCTCTGGGACCAGCGCGTGCGCGAAAGGCGAGCAGTGGCAGCGGGCTCTATCGCTGCTCTGCGAGATGTGGGAAGCGAGGTTGGAGCCAGATGCCATCAGCTACAACTCTGGGAGCAGCCCTGGGATCAGCGCGTGTACGAACGGCGAGCAGTGGCAGCGGGCTCAATCGCTGCTCTGCGAGATGTGGGAGCCGAAAGTGGAGCCAAGCGTCATCAGCTACATCTCTGGGATCAGCGCGTGCACGAAAGGCGAGCAGTGGCAGCGGGCTCTATCGCTGCTCTGCGAGATTTGGGAAGTGCGGTTGGAGCCAGATGCCATCAGCTACAACTCCGGGATCAGCGCGTGCGCGAACGGCGAGCAGTGGCAGCAGGCTCTCCCACTGCTCAACGAGATGTGGGAGGCGAAGGTGGAGCCAAGTGTCATCAGCTACAGTTCTGGGATCAGCGCGTGCGCGAGAGGCGAGCAGTGGCAGCGGGCTCTCTCACTGCCCAGCGAGATGGGGGAGGCGAAGGTGGAGCCAGATGCCATCGGCTACAGCTCTGGGATCAGCGCGTGCGCGAAAGACGAGCAGCGGCAGCGGGCTCTATCACTGCTCAGCGGGATGCGGGAAGTGAGATCGGAGCCGAATGTCCTCAGCTACAGCTCTGGGATCAGCGCGTGGACGAACGGCGAGCATTGGCAGCGGGCTCTATCGCTGTTCTGCGAGATGTGGGAAGTGAGGCCGGAGCCAGATGCCATCAGCTACAACTCTGGGATCAGCCCTGGGATCAGAGCGTGTACGAACGGCGAGCAGTGGCAGCAGGCTCTCCCGCTGCTCAGCGAGATGCGGGAGGCGAAGGTGGAGCCAAGCGTCATCAGCTACAGCTCTGGGGTCAGCGCATGCACGAAAGGCGAGCAGTGGCAGCAGGCTCGATCGCTGCTCTGCAAGATTGGGGAAGTGAGGTTAAAGCCAGATGCCATCAGCTACAACTCTGGGATCAGCGCGTGCGCGAACAGCGAGCAGTGGCAGCAGGCTCTCCCACTGCTCAGCGAGATGCGGGAGCCGAAGGTGGAGCCAAGTGTCATCAGCTACAGCTCTGGGATCAGCGCATGCGCGAGAGGCGAGCAGTGGCAGCGGGCTCTCTCACTGCCCAGCGAGATGTGGGTGGCGAAGGTGGAGCCAGATGCCATCAGCTATAGCTCTGGGATCAGCGCGTGCGCGAAAGACGAGCAGTGGCAGCGGGCTCTATCACTGCTCAGCGGGATGTGGGGAGTGAGATCGGAGCCGAATGTCATCAGCTACAGCTCTGGGATGAGCGCGTGCACGAAAGGCGAGCAGTGGCAGCGGGCTCTATCGCTGCTCTGCGAGATACGGGAAGTGAGATCGGAGCCAGATGCCATCAGCTACAACTCTGGGATCAGCCCTGGGATCAAAGCGTGTACGAACGGCGAGCAGTGGCAGCAGGCTCTC